AATACGTTTTTCGATATCGACATACTTTATATTTTGACACTTTGAACATTACACTCAAAACGTTATTTGTTGAGTAGGTTCTTAACCAAATTAATAACAATAATAATATATTTGCTTTCATGGTAGTGGAAAATCTGTACTGTAGAATCAATCGCCTTTTTTGGTCAAATTCCTGAACAAATAACGGGAAAATGTCATTGAATGCAGACTGGGTTAGTCCAATCAAGGAACAGAATCGACGGGGCGTGTCAACTAATTCAGCATACAAATTAGTGATTACAGCACGTTCATAATGATCAACTGGCATGGTAATGTGATATATTGTTAATTGGGGTATCAGTGGTATCAATTGAATAAAAGCAGTTAATTGGGAAAATATACATGTTGACATTGCTATTAGGGGTGGCACATTACTATTACTTTTAAAAGTAATCCAAATATTGTATATATTCCTATTACCAGTAACAGTAATTCTTTCCAGTTTTACTGTTGCCGGTACAAATTTTATGGGCATTCCTATTACCAGCAACAGTAAAACTGGAAAGAATTACTGTTACTGGTAATAGGAATATATACAATATTTGGATTACTCTTAAAAGTAACAGTAATGTGCCACCCCTAATTGCTATTTGATGTTGATTTAATTCTAGCTGTTCGAGTAGTTCAATTAATCTGGATAGAGTCACGCAAATAAATTTTAAAAATTCTATTGTTTTTGTAATTCGGTTACGCATATCGTTATTCATTTTAAAATTTAAATATTTTGTTGGGCTATGCACTCTTTGTTATATAACATATATATAGGTACCTAAGGCTTTTTATACGCAGAAGGGTTTTTCTTTTCTCGCATATGATAAAGAAAACCGTTAAAAAAATATAAACGAAAAGAGAAAAAGATAAGACACATGCACACACGCAGATTTTCCGCCAAATTTGCTTTTTGATTTTAACGTAAGATAGTAAAAAAATGGATCGTAATCGTAAACCGTATAAGTAAATATCTGATTTTGAAATTGAAATTGTTAATGGAATCATTGAACAAGGTCTTGCTACACCAAAAGACATTGTGGGGAAGTTATTGCAAAAATCCTATGGTGAAATAACCAATTATTACAAATCAGTAAATAAAGCTGCTCAACTTCGACGTGTCCATGATATATTGTTTAAAATCGCTAAAAAGTATGTCTTAAAAGTGAATTCAAACAGGATGTGACATGAGATATTTTTTAGTGTCGCGTTAGCACGAAGTTCTGATTATTCATTATTCACAAAACAAGGTACGAATAATCAGGACTATTTAGTTTTCCATGAAGAAACTGTAGGTGAAGATGAGAATTCGAAATCAACTGATGAACAGATGATATTTAATTCACAAGCATCCAATAATCAAGTATGACTTTTGAAATATCTTCTCCCTTTATTTTATAGGCTCTACGTTTCATATTAGATTGCAATACGTGAATAGGCAACAGATATTGAACCACAAGAGGAACGTGAATCTAAACTAGTTACACCTCGTTCAACAACATCGAAAAATACAACGGCAGTTGAAACAAATTTATCGGATGAAATAATAGTACAAACCTTCTCAAAACTAAATGCATTGCCTGTCCGAATACAAAAAAAATTATGAAAAATTTTCAATGGAATATGTACAGCACTGGTTACCAATATAGGTCTTGAAGGGGATTTTATCTCCGATATTATTCAATTAACAAAACAAAAAGTAAAACAGGAACCGGGAAGTCATCGAATGCGATCGGATGATCTTGAAGATATTCAAAATTTTCGATCATCGACAACACAGCGGGCTTCAAATGGAACAACCACACCAACAACAACAACACCTGCATCTAATATTCCGTCAGTTCCAAAACAAAAAATAAATAAAATACCTAAAAGTGTTCGTCCGCTAACAGTAAATGACATCAGTAATCAAGAAGAAGAAGAAGAATCAGTTGTTCGTGCAGCTATTTGATTTTTTCTACCTGAAAAATACAACTGCCAGACGCTTTAACGTCTATTATAATCACCTGTGGTAATTACACTTAGATGTAAGTTACACCTATGTGTTCTACATTTATATAATGTTTTTAGAACCTTTGTCAATTTTTTATCGCGTATACTTCGAGTTCATTATAGTGGCAATCAAAAAAAGCAGTCGTCTCTGCACGATCCATGAAAACCTCTAGCGAACCATATGTCTACAATGAGGCGTTGGAGAAAGTATTAGTTGACACTATATTATGTACCCTCTATCACCACTGTTAGCGAAAACGCTCCTGGACCGTACAGCAAGTTTTCCAAAAAGCCTTGGTTTTTCACGGTATCGTCTATTTTTCTCTGCTCAGGATCACTTTTCTTCAAAAAGAATGTCATATTTGAGTTCGGCGCACTAAACTGCATCGAATAGTGTATTCTTGATCTAAGTTATTGTTATTTTTGTTGTAGTTATAGTCAAACTGGCTGTTCTGCAATAAGAGAACTTATATGCGGTGTATTACTAGTCTTACTCATATATGCTATTACCACTGACTGTGATCACAGCGCTTTGGCTAAATCAAGTATAAATAAGTTCCTGTCTTGTAGCATCAGCGAAGGTAAATTATTTTATGATGCTAGCACTAAGAAGATCATCGTGACCAGATTGGCTACCGCCGCTCTGACCATATGTACCACATCGTGATTCTTAATTTCTTGCCGTAGTGGAAAATTTTTATGTAAATTTTAGAGCAGTAGAAATGATATGTGCTATGCACTGACAATAGTAGATAGAATAGTAATATATAGTGTTCCTATAGAACAATGAGAATGAAGAAAACGAATTTTAAAACATCGCAAAAAGAATGTGTTCTTCCAAAAGAAAAACAATGGAGAGCATCAAAAATTTAGGAGACCAAAAGCCAGTTTTATTCGACACATTAAGCAATTCTTTTGTAAAAGTATTCATGGATAGAGTACATCAAATTGTACTAGAAAATATTGAGTAAATAAAATAAACCTCGTTTCTTCCGTGTTATTACGGCTAGAGAAGAATTCGGCTTAGTTATTTATTTACAGAATAGAATAAATTTTCCATTTTATTACCCGTAATACAATCTGAATAACGCAATTGAACATCCAAGCAAATATCACCTATGGGAAAAACCTAGATACATTTCGTCTATAATCGGGCGATACACGACTAGTTGCCATCTAGATTACTAGTTGGAAAAGGGACTTTTAACTAGATGCGTCTGCAGG